AAAAAAATAAATAATTAAAATTTTATATAAATATGACATAAATTTTATATATAAATAAATTTTATTTAAAATTAAATCTTTTAATATTAAAAATTATCACTATTTAAAAATTTATGTTTTACAATTTCAAATTAAAAAACTATAAAGAAATTCCTTTCCATGTTAGGAAATCTTTTAAAATTAGGCTTTGGTTGAAAGCAACCGCCTGGCCTGGTTAATGGCCATTGGTTATTGGTTATGGAGAGTACGGTTTGGCCCATAGCGAGGGTTAGACGGAGGAAACCTGGTTTGGGAACCTGACAGGACGAAAACAGATTATGACGCATTTTATACGGCAATCGTACAGATACATCGTGTCAGCCCGCTGATCTGAAAATTGTTGTTATTCAGGATTGGTCCTTCGGTATACGGTATTCTCCTTGGTTTTTTACCACCGTCACGTGACCACCTCTATTTAGAACCGACGCATTGAGAGGATCCGCTCTCTGCTTTCCTTTCTCTCCCTTCAGTCTCTTTCCTTGCCTAAAGTTTCTTCTAGTACTCCTTGATGTCATTGTCCTCGTACGCCATTCATCATCCACTCCATTAATTCTCTCTCTCCCCCCCTTTTTTTTACTCTGATTTCCATCATTCTGATACCAACATTGTGGTTTGCGATAACCAAACCACAACCCCACATGGCCACCACGGTTCTAGGCCCCTTGGTGTCCCCTTCCCCTACCCAATAAGTCCCCAAGTCTCAAGTTCTCAAAAACTAGTTGGGTTGGAGAGTCTAGAGCTGTATGAACCCCACATCCGTGTCAATTACTTATAACGTAAGATCCGTGTCAATTACTTATAACGTAAGATCTAAGTCACACTTAATTTTGCAATTATATAACATTTAAGTCATGACAAGTAGGAAATTAACAATTAGGATTCGTCTTTAAAACTATATGATTGATGTCAATGAACTAATCTTTAATCAAACATTTAATTTACAACCCTAAACCAAGAAAATAAGAAAAAGCAATATGCAAGCTTCTGATGTTTAGGAACAATTTATGTTGTTAGCATTCATAATGAATTGAAACCATGCTGCAAACATCTAAAAGGAGCTATGCAAAACTTAAATTTAATACTTGAACAAAAACAGTAAGATACATAATGCCTTCGTTTTTGTTGGTAGTTGGACAGAGATTCAAACTAAACACAACATTCACATTTTGGGACGAATAATTTAAAGAGCAATTAATTAATGCTTAAAGTGTAGTTAAACTATGTGACTTTTCAGATAGGGAACGTATCTTGCATGTGACCATTGAGCTGATTGTGGTTGTGGGTCAATACTTCCCTAGCCCGTGCACTTCTATACTGAAGACGTTGGTGCAGTGTCTCAGACATTTGGCTGAAAAATTCAGCATCCCATCTACGGATCAACAAGGGGTCTTCTGCATAACATATGTAAATTGATGTAACAGCGCTTTCCACCACGACCATTGCGAGTCCCACCTGAACCAATAACTTCCATGTTATGATTGTCAAGTTAATGATGTATGGAAAAGTAATTGGCATTGATCTTAATTCACAATAAGTACAGTGAAGAATTATTGAAAATGCACAATGGAAATATGCTTCTGATAGGGGGAACTGACATAGGCAGTAAATTGGGCTCCAGAATTTTCAGTTGTTTAGCAATCACCGATAAAAAGAGATGAACACTTTTCAAGAGAGAGAACTAACCAAGATCATTCCCATCAACATTGCAGTAGACCCCACCATAATCACCCTGTCAGTCCATTTAATCCATGTCCAAACACCCGAGCAAGTTCCAGTGATAAGTCCACCCAAGATAGTGCCCATCAACAGAACAGCACCAGAACAATCATAGGCCACAAGTGCTTCTACTCCAGTCGACTGGAATAATTCCCAGGCATCTCTTGCTGAACGGTTAAAACCTTTTCCAGAAACGGCTATCTGAGGGAAAGAGGGTTTGAAAGTTATGCTATGTTATACAATTACTTAGGAATTTACAGTTAATCCCTATTGGAGAATGTTTCATCAATCATTTTATCTGGAAAAAGAAAAGAACCAACAAAACTCATAAGACAATTGGACAAATTATCTAAAGATAAGCCTTTGGGTACACTCCAAAGACTGCATCAAATTGCCATTTTTGAAATACAGTTATTTCATTAAACATCTGTATCATCTTGAGATGCCCAAAACTAGGTATTCAAACTTCTTTGTCTCATTTTATTACCATTCCCATCAATGAATAAATAAATAAACTGGTATGTAAAAAAGAATTTCAAAACACCTGATTCTTGGCTATCAATATTCTTGGTTCTGAGAATTCCAAAATGGGAAACCAGATTCGGGTTTTAAAACAAGCTATCATTTATCAATATTGTTAGAATCACCATGAGTTTCTTCACAAGCTGCAAACAAATTTACAACTGTAGACTCCTAGAGATTAGCAACAGGAATGTATAGAACTACCTGGACATAGGCATACTTGTTGAAAAACCGAACAAGAGTCTCCACCAGATGAAAGAGGAAATCAACACAGCAAAGCAAACACTCATTGTTGCCAATTTTGGACCGGACTCCCCTGATCTAGAGGACATTTTCAACTTATTAAACTATCAAGAAAAACTGAAAGTTCATTTTGCTGAAAGTAGTAGAGATTAGTGAACAAATTAGGGAAAAGCAAATTCAGTTATCTTACCTCCCACCGTAGAGTTCGAATAGCTGCAGTAAAGAGAGATCCATAGCAAATGCTTCCAAAAGAAGTTGTCACAGCATACCGTAGAGATTTCATCAAGGAGTTGGGAGGCATTGATGAAGCTTGTCTATCACCATGAATGAGAACCAGAAACACCATTCCAGACACGATAACATGCACGGTATTACAGAGGACTGCACCTGTCCAGAATAAGCTTATGGAGAGAACCTGTGTTTAGCAATGCCAGCATTGGTAGCATTGTTATTTAGCCAAGAATATTCATAATAGTACTTTTCTGCAAATCTATTGCAGTGATAACAATGAAAAAAAGGCTAAAACTTGCCAGCTCACCACAAGAAGCCACCAGCGTCCAAGATCACCCCTGCTTGAAGCCACAACACCGGCTGCTCCAAAAGACCATATACCCATCCACAAAAGCATGAGTAGCATAAATGCGTATGCTACTCTCATAACTTCTGGAAGACTCCATACCATCTTCACAGCTTTTTGCAATACCAGCATGGTAAATGGAAGTCTATATAGAAAGGCAAACAATCATTAGGAAAGTGGGCAGGAAACGAATGAAACTTATATATCACAACGGAGACATCAAAGAGGACTCATTAACTAAGAGAGCCTTTCAATCCCAATTACATAGGATTAAATACTCTAGAAACCAAAAGAGAACATGACATGATATGATAGCTATTAACCAAATGCATCCCAAAGATCACAAATTCAAATGAAGTGAAATCATCAAGGTCTCTAAATCAAAGGTTCCTTATTTCTTATAACTGAAAAATTAATGAATAATTCAAAAACAACAGAGGTGACAAAAATTTTGTTAAGAATTTATCAATATTGTAATTTATCAGTCAGACAAAACGCCATTTAACCCAAGCTCAAACTCTTGCACTCATTGGGAAAACACATTTCCATCTCATCCATACCTGTCTATAACTGAGATAACATACAAGAACTGCAGTGCAGCACCGACGGCAAATGCACCCCCCCAGAAAAACTGCTTGCACCAAAAGCATAAAACACTAATCACTGCAAGATACGTAGTCAAAATGTGAACAGAAACCTTCATCATTTGGTTTGCCCGAGAACCAAGCAACAACAACCAAATCCATCCAAGAAGAGTCCCAACCCCTCCAGCAACAGCATACAATGGCCAATAGTTCTCTGTTAATCCTGGATGATTCTCCCAGAATCTATCAGTGTATCGATCAATATTTAATCTGTCTGATTTCTTAAACCTATTGAGTCCAAGAACAGTTAAAACAAATCCTAAACCAACCATATGTATTACAAATATTCCTAACCAAAAAACATCTCGCCAGTGACGTGATTCTGGCGAAAATGGTTGACCACCGTCTGCAATTCTTTGACTCCTCCCTACATTCTGATAACAGCAGAAAAATTTGAAAGAAAGCAAAGTCAGGAAAGATATGGTAGTGAACTCAAATAATATGACAAGTCAAAACCTAGCAAGCAAAGGTAATACATTCAGATTATTAAATATATATATATATATATATATATTATAAAAACAGTACTTTGTTCAGGCAAGATACTTTATTTTTATTGATCTAAAGATTATTTGCAGAGACAAAAACATGAAAAGATTAAATTTTTATAATAAATTGAGAAAAAAAAATTGCCCCATGACTACAGTAAGTTATTGTGATTTCGTGATTTAGAAATTAATTGAATAAATTGAAAGATTCCAGAACTATTCATGATCAGTTGCTCTGAAATGAAGCGAACTATAAACTGTATACATCATATAACAATAGAGAAATGAATTTAACAGAAAATTCCACTATTAACTGATCTCTCTTTTTTTTTTTTTTTTTTAAAATTTTAAAAAAAAAAAAAAAAAAACTGCTAATTTCACTTGAAGTAGAGAGAAAACACTGAAAACGAAATGGTAACTGAAAAAATTCGATTGATTAGAGAGATGATGGCATTACCTGATTGACGGTGGTGACGGAAACGAAGTCGGAGGAGGAAGAGGAACTGTTGGAGTCGCTCATGGTGAGACTAGGAAACGATTGGATCAAAGCATTGCTTTTCGGTCAATCATAAAAGAGCGGCGGAATTTACTAAGAAATGTCGAAGGTAAAAGGCGAGAGGGGAAAGAGCGAAGAAACAGTGAGGAAGAAGATATTGGGGTGCGAAAGCGAAAAGTCCAAGGGAAGGACTAGGGATTTATAAAGGAGAAATTGGTGTGGGGGTAACTGCAGCTCGACGGTTAAGAGAGAAAAAAATGGAAATGTAGACACCACGCGCCTCAATGACGGCGAGTGTTCAAGTCCAAAATGCAAGAGCTCTTTCGCCAGTTGGTTCCATTTCTGTGTTCTGAAATTCCGAGGGGAGTAACAGGTTCCTCTCTTAAATATTCTGTGAATATTCAGAGACAGGAAAAAAAAAAAAAAGTCATTTTCATTTGACATGGGCTCTCCTTAATTAACTTAGGTGGTTTCCATTAAAAACTAAAAAACTTAGGTGGGAGTGTAGGGATCAACTTGTGATTGTTGATTGGTAATTTGCCTAACTTTTTAGATTTTTTTTTATTAATCTAGTTAATTATATTAAATTTTGATTAATTTAAAATCAACTTGCATTGAATTTTATAAAGAGGAGCTCTACCGATATTTATTTTTTCATTCACAAGATTCAATTTAAAAATTAAGAATGGAAGTTTTTTAATTGAAACCCACAAATAGTTGTGCCTAACTTCTTAAATGTATACACACATTAGACGATAGTAGTGAGCACCTAAATTTTAGACCTTTCCAAAATTTTTGGTGGAAGGTAGCCTTAAAATAATTCCAATCTTAAGTAATGTTGGAAGTTTACAATAGTGAAATAACATTAAATAAATATATATGTATAAGATTATGTGTAATGATTTAAACTTGTAATATTATATATAACATTACAATTATATTATTTTTTTGAATAAGAATATTATTGCTCAATTAATATTGGATTATGTGGCCAAAAAATTTAATATTGGATTGTCGCTTCTCATGTTATCTAAAATAAAAGGCAAAAAAATCTAACACATATAAAGATGCACTTAATATTCTCTTATACAAATTACTTTATTAAAATTTTAATTATTTATTATATAAAAAAAGAGATTTATTATAATTTAATATGATAATTATGTATAAAATTTAGATATAAATTAATTTTATTTTATAAATTTACATGCTTGAAGTGCGCATATATTCCTATAATCCTATACATAAAAATTAAATTTCAAAGACATTTGTATGTTTCCGCAGAAGTACATAAAAAAAGACATTTGTATGTATAGTATTTTTTTAAATAAATTAAAATTATTTATAAATATTAATTAAGTAAGAAAAAAAAAAAAAAAAAGAGATTTCGTGAGGTTCACATAAAGTAAACATATTAACCCATAACTCATACTATTAGATCAGAGTCAGAGTGGACTTTTCTTATACACACAGTATTTAACAAGAAGAATAAGGTAGCACTCTCTCCTATACTCCATAAACAGAAGAAAAAAGAATTATTATCAATTTTAAATACAGAAAAAATTCTAAAGGTAGCAGAAATGGTCGGGGGAAAGAAAAAGACTATTACTGCGATTAATTGAAATTGATTCTGGAACTCTACTAAGCAGTTCGGTGGACTGCACATCTTAAAAGAGGTAAGATGTTCATCAAATTTAAAAGTTAAATTTTTAATTATTAATAATTAATAAAAATAATCTACTATTCAATGCCTTTTTAAAAAAAATTGAAATTGATTCTGCGTGGAATGATTTAGAAATCCTCCTATATTCCCTCCCTAGCATCTAGGTTAAGGTGGTACACCTATACTTTTATCTGTTTGATCCCATTGGTTGATGGCCAAAAAAACAAAAAAATTCCCATCTGTTGTTAAGTCGTCCATTTTCCTGGCGGCTGGCCTGGTTTAAAAGGAACACTAATTGGATTTTATCATTTTATTCGCCAGAAAATAATTAAAACATTTTTTAACAATATACTATTAATTTGAAAACGTATCGTATAATTTAAATTATCACGTAAATAAAGAGTATATGTTTTGATGTTAAGTCATTAAAATTTATTATTTTATTTAATTATTATTCATATTTTGTTGTTTGAATTGTAAAATAATAAATTCATATTAATTATTATTACTTAATATTTAAAATGCAATTTTTATAAAGTGAAATGTATAAATTGGTGTATATATTTTTTTATTTATAATATATTTGGATAAAAAAAAATAGAGGGGAGATGATAGGAGGGAGAGATCATTTCTTGACTAATTAAATTATAATATTTAAAAAATATTATAATTTAATTAGTTAAAAACTTTTTTTTCCTTTTCATTCCCTCCATCTAAGCATACTATTAAAGTTATATTGTGGATATTTGATTATTAGAATAATACAAATAGTTTTATTTTTATTTTGAATCACATAATAAAATAAAACTCTCTTTCATTCTCTAAATCATCAACTCACATAATATACAACTCAAACTTTTTAGCTCTTATTTTTATTAAAAAAAATAAATTTGAATTACTTGATCTTTAGCTATGTGTTAACAAATATTATTAGTTTCCTTGTTTCTTGCAAAAACAAATTATAACGTCATTTAATGATTTAATACCAACAATTTAGCTCAATAGTAACCTCTTTTAGCAAAAATAAGATATTTTAAATTCAAATCCTATGACATATACGTGAGATAAGATAAAATATAAGAGAGAGTTGTCTTCCATTTTACATTTTCTTTTTTGTTATATAATGAGAAGCAATTATCTCTTATCCCTTATTCTACCTCACTCATATGTTATACGACTCAAACTTAAGATCTTTTACTTACAACAAAAAAAAGATGATTACTGAATTATTTAAATCAATGACATACAATTTAAAATTAAAAAAAAAGGATTTAATGTCATATGAGTATTATTACTCATAACTATCATTGATAACAAATAATACGAATGAATCATTATTGTCATCTTGTGATTTCTTTAATCCCTTACACACACTTTAAAATTAATATATAAAATTAAAAAATTCAAATTTTGACCACATGGTATTAGAGCAACTCGTAGAGGA